CGAGCTCCGCACACCACCAACCCGCGGCGGGAACGCCCCCGGCCCGCACCGGTCCTGCAGATCCGCCAGACTCTCATTCGTGCCCTCCGTCTCGACCACCACCGTCCCGTACCACCCCGGATCCACAAACAGCCCGTTCGACTCTGGTATCGCGATGCGCACCGCCCCGCGCGACCGCAGCACAAACGAGGACCGGTGCACCCATCGCACGACGTTATGGTACGTTCCCTGGGGACTAGAAGAAAAGAAGCTCAAGAACAGAACAGAACAGAAGCACGCGCAAGCTCACGTTTCGGTGCGCACTCTATCCTGGAGAAGCTGCAAGTTAGCAGCGATCTCCTCCCCCCAGGGCGCCAAGTCGATGCGCACGATGGGGTTGCTCGAAGCCGGCCCCGTCCTAACCACGCGGTGGAAGTAGGAAGGCGAGAACGCTAGCGTCGGCAGATACCGCGGCAGATCGCCCACCGCCGAGTACGTGTAATCCAGATCCTAACGATGAGAGTATGAGTAAGTGCACCTTATGACAGAGAAAGACGACAAACAATGAGATAGCTCCCATCCCACACCAATCGTCCTACATTCCCCTCGTCGCCCACCGCGACATCCCAAACCACGTCTCCAACGCGCATGAGGTGCAACACACCCGCGCGCTTGAGCTCGGCCTCGCACTCCAGCACACTCGCGTCGCTCAACCAGTCCCCGTCCGGACTCGGCACAAAACACCTCAACAGCGGCGCCCGGCGCAGCCTGAACAATGGCGACTTGAAGCCGTGATTAATCGGTGTTGGGGGCCGATGTCCATGCGTCGAATACGAAAAGGTGGGTGAAGGCGCCCGGCTCGAAGCACGCGAACGCGTACGCGACGACGGGCTATGTGCTGTAGAGCGTGAAGTCTCCTTCTCGGCCTGCGCGCGCAACCGAAGGACCACGCGTGTATATGCACGCGTTGCCGCCGTAAGATGTTGCACGTCGTCGATAAGGGCACGCTCCCGCCGGCTCGCGTGAGTCTGCACAAATGTCTGCGCTGTCCGTGCATACTCGTGTGTCGGCAGAGTGACGCCCCGCATGTAATTGTACAAGTCCTAATGGAATTCATCAGCCATCTATCCTGTCACAAGCAGGTTAACCCACCTCGAGTGTCAGAACCAATGGTTCGTTGGAACCCCACAACCATCTCGAGTACCCGACAGTCTTCAAGTACCTTTCTAGAATCACTTCCTTCAGGTCTGCATCACCCTTCGCGCTGGTCACACTCCTGATCTTCTTTGTGACGCTGCTCAGAACCAGCCATTCGTAGAAGGATAGAAACGGAAGCAGCGCAGCGAGGATACCCGCATGAGAGAGGAACACGTCCAGAAGGAAGGGTTCTGGAGGTCGATCCTCTTTGACAGGTAATGCCGCGAGGGCCTGCGGCGGCGACTTTTCCAAAACATGACCTCGACGGACACGTTTATAATCATCAGGCGAAGGAGGTGTCGGAGGAGCGCGTGGCGCAGGCGGCGGAGTGACTGGACGTACAACTTCGGGCGTAGCAGCCCGTGGGACTTCTGGGGTAACAGGTCGTGCAGGCGTAACGGGACGTGCAACCTCGGGAGTGACAGGCCGGGAGACCGCTCTCTCCTTGCCCTTACTCGAACTAGGTTTGGGAGGAAGCATCTTCACACCCTCCACCTTGGCAAACGGGTCATCTGAAAAGAAGGGCACGTCTGCAGCAACCCGCGACTCCTCAGGGGTAACGGGACGTTGTTTGTACAGGCGACGGGATGTCATGTTATTGACGGATATGGATGCATCCGATGGCGTACGCGATGGGGCCTTTGCGTGGGCCGCCCGCAGAGGAGTGGTATTCTGTAATGAAACAGGCGGATGCGTTTCCATGCGAGCTGTCTGCCCGTGCCCGTGACCGTTGAGACTGCCATTGGGATATGCGTCACGCGAAGACGGTCGGGGAGGGTCATTGTCCGTAGGCGAAGCACCGTTACGATACCGAGGAAGGGAAGCAGTCGATGAATTGAGGTGCTGATGCATGACGACAGGTGGATGAGAATTTTCCGACGGTATGGAGGAATATGGATTCGGAGAAGGAGGAGGGTATGTCTTCTGGCGCGATCTTGGTTGGGAGTACTCTGCCGGAGGAGTGGGATACGAATTCGGGTATGGAGGTTGGTATACGCGCTGCTGCTGGGGAGGAGATGCGTAAACGTTCTGAGGGTATGCGTTCTGGTATGGCTTGGGCTGGGGCTGAGGAATGGTGGTCATTGCCGCAAAGATGAGTGGCTTTCCTCGGGCAGGAGCAGCAAGCGAGCGCTGACTGTTGGATTTGCGAGGTGGGCCATTCATGTGGTAGGCGGTAGGAGACATGGTTGTGGTAGTCGTGGTCGACATGCTGTTTGAATGAGAGATGTTTTGGGGTATTACGGCCTGGGAGTGTTCGGACTTTATAGCAAAGAGAAAATTAGCGCGAGAGGGCGTGGGTGACGTCAAAAACGCACCGTGTCTGATCGGGTAAGAGGTGGCTGAAGGCCCGCTATAGAGTCGACCTGAGGAGGCGAGATAAGTAAAGGTTGGGTGACGGAAAATCGCAACAAAGTTAAGTGCAGAACGCGTGGACTATTACGTCGGGTTCGCGCAGATCACCGACCGCGAAGTCTAACCGCGCATGTTCAAGTGCCGGACAAGGGGACGCCTCAAAGGAGACTGGCTCGAGAAAAAGAAGAAATTCGAAAATTTATCCGCTTACCTCGTGTGGCGGCCTGCGCTGTGGTGGGCTCGGGGGCATTGGTATACGCGGCTGGTGAGCATTCAGAGATACTTTGCGATCAGGTGTGGGTATTGGTCGGGGCTTTGGCGTAGAAAATAACGATTCGTGCGGAAATAGCGGCTTTTCCGGATCAGCAGGCGGTAGTACAGAGGACGAGGGAATGGACACGGATGTACCAAACGTTCGTAGGTCGGCTGAAGTATCAGAGACCTGCCCTGACGTAGTCGTACGTGAATTGTAGGTTTCCAGAGGCACCACTCGGTTCGAAAACTGCCGACTGGGGGACACGGACGAATACAGGTTATTGGGCTCGCGTGGGGGATATACCTTTGGTAGGGGTTTCTCTGGAGGTGGTGGTGGTGCGTCATCGCCAAATGCTGGTCCCAGAGACGTCTCCGTGACTGTCCTCATCGTTGCGAGCGACGTCGACGATGCGGCAGCCGACGTGTTGCCCCTCACAGGCTGCCGCCAAGCAGGGGGTGGACTCGTGTAGCCAAATGCCGCGTCGCCCATCGTCTCCGTCACGCCATATTTGCTGCTCTTCGTTGTCGCGACCGACGTCGACGATGCAGCAGGCCCAGTTACGTTCCTTCGCGCTCCTGAAGCGGTACTTCGCGGATGCGATACTGATTCCCGTTTTCCCAGTGCCATTGGGCCCGACACGATCCTAGCCGCCGTCGGTGCTGTCTGTGTCTGCGCAGCTGAACCTCCCGCGAGTCGTGCATATAATGGGGTCGGCGCCGACACGTTTGGTGCGGACGGAGCAGGAGGGCCTGCAGTGGTGTCATTGGGTGCAGGCTTTTGTTTCGACTTTTTGCGAAGGAATCCAGCCATCGCACGAGTCGTCGTCGTCACTGTCGTACACGACGAGCTCAAGGCTTTCGTGGTTGTCGTCGTCCTCGGAGAATTTGTGAGAAATCGTTATTGCTTCCGCACCGTATGTTAGCCGTCAATGACCCATGGGAAAAGACTGCCGCATTTGGAATCCATTGTTCCTTGCACTGACGAAACTGGTGATGTTGGACGACATGTTGCCCTGTTCTTGCCGTACGCTGAGAATTTCGAATGTCGTAGAATGAGAGGAAAAAGGGCGTCTAACGTAAATAGAGCTCGAACCAGCCAAGGTGTCCTGAGCGCCACTGATTGCCGTCAATTATATTCAATCTGTCCGGGAAACAGCGAGGACTGTATTATTGACGGTATATAAATCCGCGCCCTCGTTGACTCCATGGAGATGAACGTCATCGACAACTTCGCGTTCACTGTGGAATGTCGGGTAACTTTCCAGTGCAACGATTGACTCTTGTACTCTTTCAAAAGAGAAACTAGAAACTTACACTGTCTTCGATCCTCATTCACTCATCTTCCATCATTCGTCCTGACCATCATGAGCTTAATTAGTCTTGGACTAGTCGCGCCATCCCTTACCCAGCTGTAGCCAGTCTCGCTACTTTAGCTCGGCGGCGGCGCCAAGAGCCTTTCCTGTACGTAGATCCCGATTCCGTACCTTCATCTCGCTAACCTGGGCAGCGCGTCAATCTCAACGCCGTCCATCATGATATATGATAACCTTGATCGAACACGGACATATAACGGCGCTACGCTTCTGCGGTCGAGATCAAGTCGAGATTCGAGTCCGAAAGGTATCGTTCTTTAGAGACGCGGACATATACATTGGCCTTTACCAAACAATACTGAGCCAACGGGTGTCTGAAGTTTGACCGTCGCATTCATGAGGCTAGAAAGCTCCAACTGGAGCAGGATGTATGCGCCGTGAGGAAATCGGACTTCTTGTAGACGCCGCGCGTAGTATGCCCGGAATAAGTTTCATTGACCAGCCAGAAAATGATCAAATACTCAGTGAGCGCCGCGGCATAGATGGCCTTTACTCTGTGGCGTAAATCCTAGGGCCCGCTTAGTCGTGTGCGTTTTTGTTCGGGTTCAAGTTGCCTCGCATTCGAATCGATGATAAGGATGTCTAGACTCTCATGTCTGTTACTGAAGCAACGGTTCGAATGAGGGTCTTGTGCAGTGATAGGACCGAGGCCATACGGACAATAACGCGTGCTAAAAGGGAATCACCCCGCACAAAGCTCCGTAGCCTGTACTACAGCGTGATGAGGACGAACGAAGGATCCAACCAAAAACGAGCGTATCAACTTCCTAGTCACCCGGGCCTGGCCGACCCTGAACGTTAGCACAAGTTCCAAGCAAGTTGTAAAAGATCCTAATGAGCCAGTTCCCTCTAGCCGACTTGAACGACTGACCTCGTCATAATCTGTGGAACTGCTTATACTAGTGACGCGCTCTACCACTGAGCTAAGAGGGATGTAGGCTCCCCAGTGCTTACTCAGGTTCTGCCAATAATTTGAAATGACGCTCGATCGATAGAGTGCCTTGTACCTCAGGATCATCTCCTCTGTTCATGACGGCCACAACGACGTCGAGCGCGATGGCCAGCGACGCGCCACCGGAGGAAATTTCGCGGCCATCTCTCGACGGAGGCAGCCTCTACGCTGTCCTCCTCTTTCGCGGCGACTACACCACCTGGGACTGGGCCTTTTTCGTCCCCGATGCCGCCAAAACACCCATCGGCGCCCTCGGATCCCTGTTCCACACCACCCAAGGCTCGGCGGGGCGCTGGGCCTTTGCAATGGAGAACTCGGCCGACTTTCACCAGTGCGCCGAGGCCGTGGCTATGGTCCGCCTCGCCGACCTCCACGGCCTTGGCAGCTTCGCAGACGTCGTCCAGGAGCTCACCGCCACGTTCAATACCGTCGATACGAGCAACACACACCCCGCAGAATTCAGCTCGCGGCTCTGGTTCATCGAGGCGATCTGCGTCCTGCATGATTGCGGCTTCGTGACCTGCGACGATGCCTGGCTGCTAGAAAGGGAGTTAAAGCGCTATGCTTTTAGCGCCATGGATTCGTATCTCGAAGGGGGAGGTACGTCTCCATCGGTGCCTTTTATTTCTTTAAATCTCATTTCGGGGGCCAGGTTATAAGCTGTTCAAATCAGAACACTGTTCATAGCGGATGGTCTGTTCCTATCCTCGTTCCACACTCCCGCCATCTGATACCCCGCAAAGACCTGTTCGTTCTAGCTTCCATCTACCTAGATCCGCCGCTAATTTTTGTTACCCCTGCCAGTAACATACACCCTGGGGGTTTCTTGCATGCATGGGCGCGCTTGTGCTCGCCCGGTTCCTTACTATGATTGTGTAGCTCTGCGGGATATATGCTTGGGTGCAGTATGGCTTCAAATCACAGGATCATTATTTTCAATATCTGCAGTTCGCGTGTTAAACACCTGATAGGCATTTGACCTTTTCGTCGCAGCGAAGCAACACCATATCCGCTCAACGTGACTATACCGTTGGAGCCAAGCGCGCGTTGACGTTAGAAATCAACATCGGCATTCCAACTGCGCTCGACCGCGTTCTGGTTTGCATCTCCCTCGATCCGCCACTAATACATGCTCCCATTGCCCTTAATTTCTGGCGTATAGTAACCGGATTCTTGAAAAGTGCAGCGGCATATACGCGTTGGTTCAAGCTGATGTGGCTCCATCACAAGACCCTAATTGCCTTGGCTGTGTGAAGGCAGCTGATGTGCACTAACGTTGATCCGCAAAAAAAGAATGCCGTGTTTCGGTATACAACTTCCCGTTGAGGCCTGCGCGTCAGTTTACAAGACTATTAGCCTCGTACTGACTTGGTAAGCACGCTTCTGGTCTTCGGCTACGGTGTTAACCTGAGTGTAGGATTATATTCATCGGCTTCACGGGGAGTTGAACAAATTCAAACGCGCCAAGGACAGTTCGCAAAAGATGTACGACCTTCGCACACTCCTGCCGCGGTATCTGAGCGTCGCGTTGATGCGTGCGCTTCAACGGTCAACGGAAGTCATTTCAACAGCACTGCAGTTATCACGTCTATCGTGCATGTCTCCTCATGCCCGGCGTCTACAAGAAGGACTATTCCCATCATAGCATTTACAGCCTGGTCAAGTCTTATGTGTCGAGCCAAGATACTCGCAATCAGGCGCGGTAGCCTAGAGACAATGTTCGACATTTCGCGGCGTCCTGCCTGGAGATGCAAGCAATCGATCTGGACTATTTGTCACTCGGCTCTTCTTGACTTGATATCCTGTAGCCAGCGTTTAATTGTGGTCTGCCTGACAGTATCGCAGTACTTTTTCGTCTACGCGTGTTTGACCGGTCTAACTCAGTAGAGCTTCGATTCCGATACGGATTCAGGAAAGAAATTGCTCCACTGATCATAGGGTTCCTTTTTGTGGAAGACAGCCTTTGTTGGTGGGCGACACAGGACACCGCCTCGAGCAGCTAGCCCCTTCCCATGTCCAGCTCTAATGGCACAAGAAAGTCTCGTCTTGGTCCGTACCGACTTAACGTACAAATGCAATTCTAGGTCCGTTGAACGGAAAGGCGTGAGAGTCATCATGATGATCAAGCCGAACACGGCGCACCTCTTTCCAATCACTCAACTTTATCTCCCTCACACGTCTAACACATATTGACGTAGGAGGGTATTCAGACAAGACTTCTTAGCTCGCCCCACACAGTTCTGGTAAAGTCTTTCCAATGACCATGCGCGACGGTCTCACTGGTACGGGCAATGGAATTACTCCTATCGCGTCCGCTTTCTACTTCTCCTTGTGGAACCTGTCTCGTTCACCACGGCCTTCTGTAGTGTCCGAGTCAGTAGGCCGCCTTCTCCAGCTAACCCCTTCCCATGTCCAGGTTTGATGGCGCAAGACAGTCTCGTCTTAGTTTGACTTTAAAAGCCCTTGTCAGATTAGAACTTCGCCATCAACCAACATGTCATCATTCCACAAACTCTCCATCTATGTTCTTGCACTATTGTCCGTTACTCCCAGCTCCTATACTGGCCCGAGTGCAGCGCCTGACAATATCGTGGACGTCACCAGTGTAGACAAGTTCTGGTACGCTTGTTACCACTCACACCCGTCGCCGCGACATCTTATTCAACAATCCAGTCTCATCGTCCCGCGCACCGCGCACACATCAATCGGTGACAGCGAACATCCAGGCGGGATGCAGACGTACTGTTCACCGCACGGACATACAGACCCGAAGCAGGATACCTACCCGCTGACTTTGGCAAGAAGGCAAAGTCGCGTTCAAATCGGGAACGGGCAAGAATGGGAAACGATACACTCAATGTAGGTTGCTGTTCAGCCATCGGAGGAGAGAAGTTAATGATTTCTTTAGTAACAGGATGCATCAATTCGAGCAAGCTGGATCGACTCATACCCAGCGACGCAGGTGGCCAGTACGATTCGAGTGGTGGATCCAAGGGACAGGGAAATCCACAAGGGAGTGTTTGCCTTGGGTACGTCGCGTTCGCCCAGCTCTGTATCGTCTTCGCTGATCACGTTGTCCTGGTCATTTTAGGTACAAACACTACGTCGAGCTCGTCGAGCCACGAGGCCCGCGGGCGTGTATTAGGTGCTGCGACGATCCAGCCGACTGTCCTACAAACAAAGGTATGTGAACTCAATGCTGTTTCGCGAATGGCACTCATCTGTGAACGTTGTAGACACTTCGGGATGCCCGCGCGTCATAGACGGGGATTACTTCAATTGCGGATAGATGATGAGATCTGCGAGGAGTTGAAACACAAGTTTTCTCGAGTGAGATGATACCACTAGTTTGAGGCGAATATACATCATTTGTTTTGAACTGCCGATTTGAGTACATTAATATGGACACCGCCAAGTTGAATAGTGCTGGGACCCGGTCGTTTCCAAGAACTGGAAATGCAAGCGAGCCAATTTGTAAGAAGTGGGCGCTGACAAGATGGATCTTCCTCTTCAGTTTCGATCCCGAAAGCACAAGGGGTGCCAGCAAAGGAAGTCTATGATTATGGGGAATCTAAAGTCCAAAATCGTCCACGACGATGTACACGCTAAATCGAGTAGTGAATAGTTATGGACGCCTGCCGGATATTGTTTGTCCACATTGGAAACTAGGATTTGCATCAGAAAAGTCACGCTGTATTCGTGGCTCTCTTACCTTGGTCATGACAAGCAACGCGACACGGTCGCCGCTCTGCATCAAATTGACAAAGTCTGCCTCTCTTCCATATATGCCCCTAGCATGATGGTGACCAGGAGGAATATCGTTATCGATGTCCTTTGGATCCTCTGCTGTCCAGTGTACGACGTTCTCCTTGTACGTCTTCACCGCCGTGAGATTCGAGGTAACATGCCAACGTGAACGATCTAAATCCGGGAGCCGTACTTCGCAAGACAAGGCGGTGTCGCGCTCTGCTGCAGACCGATCGAGTCCTTCTCTGTAGAGATCTACGGGCAGGCTCCTCTCAACTCCGGAAACCCACCAGGGAGTACTGTCGTTATCTGAACGAATTATCGCCGCTTCAAACCACGTCCAAGACCCGTTATAAGTGCCTGTATTAATGATAGGTCAGTACGTTAGCGGCTGTCTATGTAGACAGGGCCTTACCACGATGTTCAGGCTCCCCGCCCCATCCTTGATCGCAGCTCTCCGTCTGAATCGTGATCGCTTTCACAAACTTGGCATGGGCGGGTACACGCGGCGATACGAGGTAGCACCACTCTGCCGTGGGATATGGGCTGCCTTCCCGTCGTGCAGACTTTACTGCCACGTCGAGGAAACGTTCGCTGCGCACGGAGGGCCAGTATTCAGCCATGTCGAGAATGATTTCGATGAGCTCGGCGGGAATATCGATGGCAGAAAAGAATAGACTGCGTAGGCGGTTAATGTCTTCTTCTGTGGGTACATAGTCGTGCGTGTCAACATCGGGTGCAGCGACCTCCTCTGACGATTGACTCGCGCCCATGTCTGGAAGAAGGCTAATGTCAGCGATTACACACAAGGTAGTTGTCAAGACTCCCTGTTTAGCGACTTCCACAGAAGAAACTCTTATCTTGCGTTTATCTTGAGTTCCTTCAATTATTGGGAATCTAGGTGGTGGATAATTGGGACTTGCAGAAGGTGAGGATGCCAGTCGAAGTATAAGGACAAGATGGAAAGCTGCGTCATTGGATATTTGAAACGCCCACGTGGGGTCGTCCGTCCTCAACTACACAGGAAGTCCGGTGGTGCCGAGAGACAACACCGACTCGCATTGAAAGTACTCTACTATACATGCAAAGGAACTTGCTTGTTATCGGTAAAACTACCGTTACCTCGCAAGCCTTTGCTCTTAAACACAGGAAACTCGCTTATCCTCAGCTTCGTTGCCTACCAAAGAAGCATCAGCACCAACAATTCTCATCAGTGCATATATACTTACCCCGT